GATACATGAAGTGTCAAGACTATATGGGAGACCGGAAAGACAAGTCAAATAGCTGCAGAAATGAGAACATACAGCTTGACGGTTCTCGGAATCCGTGAAACTCATTGTATCCAAGCTGAACAGCAAAGGTCGGGTACAGGAGAGATGTTGCTGTACTCCGATCACGCAGAAGAAAATGTTCCACACATTAAAGGAGTTGCTCTGATGCTGTCCGAAGAAGCACCAAGTGTACTTATACGATAGGAATCTCACGGATTCAATATCATCAAAGCTTCAGATCACCATCTATCTGGTGATTGCCAAGATGAAACTTGAGCTAACGAAGCAATGGACAACTGGACAAACAGCATTACAAAGGTTCAATACAGTCTTCCTTCGACATACTGACAAATTCAATGAATTCAATATAGATCTCAACAACAGGTTCGACGCCTTACAAGATCCACTCGAAGAAGAGAATAATACTATGAAAGACAAGTGGAAAGGGATCAAAGATGCACTAACTTCAACGTGTCAGGAGGTTCTCGGCCGCAAGAAGCATCATCATAAGGAATGAATCTCTATGGAAACCCCGGACACGGTTCAAGAAAGGAAGAACAGAAAGACAGCAATCAACAACAGTGGAACAAGAACAGAGAAAGCCAATGCACATGGTGAATACTTAAAATTAAACAAGAAAGTGGAGAGGAGCATTAGAGCTGACAAACAGAAATACGTGGAAGACGAAGCAATGACAGCGGAAAAAGCTACAAGAGAAGGGAATGTGCAACAGTTATGTGACACAACGAAGAAACTGGTAGGGAAATAGAGCGAAGTAGAGAGACCGGTGAAGGACGAAGAAGGCGAGCCAATCAATCACTGATATTGAAGAACAGCGGGACAGATGGGTAAAGCACTTTGAAGAACTCTTGAATGGACCAGCTCCACTGAACCACGACCGGACATCGAAGCAACACACACAGAGATATTCCCATAGATGTTATCGAACCAACAATCGAAGAAAACATCATGATCATCAGGCAAGTCAAGAGTGGGGAAGCAGCAGAACCAGACAACATACCATCTGAAGCAGTAAGGTCAGCCATAGAAGTGACTGCATGCATGCTCCATGTTCCATTCAGGAAAATTTAAGAGAAAGAACAAGTGACGACAAACTGGAATGAAGGATATCTCATTAAGATAACAAATCAACGAGATCCGAGTGTGTGTGAGAACTACAGAGGCATCGCACTACTATCTGTGACATGAAAAGTTTTCAACCAAGTTTTGTAGAACTGAATGAACGATTCAATGAACACCGAACTTCGAGGTCAACAGACCAGATTCCGTAAGGATCAGTTGTGTACGGACCAAATGGCAACACTACTGATCATCGTTGAACAATCACTTGAATGGAAATCATCACTAGACATCAACTTCTTTGATTATGAGAAAGCGTTTGAGTGTGGATAGGAGAACTTAGTGAAACCTTCTTCGACAGTATGATGTATCTGGGGAGATCGTCCACATCATAGGGAATTCATACGACGGACTACACTTGAAAGTGTTGCATGGAGGACAGCTGACAGAATCGTTCCGAGTGAGGACCGGAGTCAGACAAAGCTGCCTACTCCCACCCTTTCTCTGTCTTCTGTTGATTGACTGGATTACGAAGACCGCGACATCTGAGGGAAAGCATGGAGTACAATGAACAGCTTGCATGCAACTAGACGACCTGGAATTCGCAGATGACCTGGCCCTTCTATCCCATACACACCAACAAATACAGGTCAAGACAAACAGTGTAGCAGAAGCCTCTGCTTGAGTAGGCCTCAACATACACAGAGGAAAAAGCAATATTCTAAAATATAACACAGAGAGCACCATCTCGACCACACTTGATGGAGAAGCACTGGAAACTTTCGCGTACCTGTTCAGCTTTATCGATGAACAAGGCGGATCAGATGCAGACGTGAAGGTGAGTTTTGGCTCAACATGGGCTACATTTCTACAACAGAAGAACATGTGGAACTCAAGACAACTGTCTGCAAACCAACATCAAATTCAGAATCTTCAATACGAACGTCATGAAAGTCATTTTTACTGTACGGAGCTGAAACTTGGAGAACTACTACAACCATTATCAATAATGTAAAAGTATTTATAAACGATTGTTTACTCAAGATGCTCAATGTCCGTTGGCAGGATACCATTAGCTACATCCTACTGTGTCTGTTTTATGAATAAAATACATCACTTTTATTTAGGATATGCGAGCGGTTTGATAATCTTATACCAATCAATATTAATAAAGATAATCCTTGGAAAGTGCATTAATCAACCTGCAGAGAGTCACGAGTAATATCAAGTCACGTGTGGGCCTTACAGGTGTGTGGATTATTATACCGGGATGAATATCAGAAAGATTTACACTTTTTGAATTACTTTTAAGATTATTATTTCTATCACTTTTTTATAGTTTCAGAATAGCTACATTATTGAATTTCTATATCTGCCTTATTGTAAGCTTCTAGTGGACTTGTTAACTATTGTTATGCGTTTTACTACTCCTTAATTATTTCTAATTAATCATGTACTGCTTGATTTCCTCTCTCTTATGGCATGATTATATTTAAAGAACAATTTCTCATCCAATGTGCTATGCTGTATAATACTTCGTGTGTATAATCTGATGATTGTTTAAGATCGATGGTATGCTGTCGCGCTTGCGTGATTGTAATATGGGAATTGTAGATGCCTAGCTGCTGACTTCTCTTCGGATGGGCAACCAATGGAAGCGTAGCTCACGTTAAATTGTACCGGACAGAACGCATCACTACTCAAGGCTAAGGACGCTAGACTATGGTTGGATTAGTAGACACGAAGTAGAACATTTAAAGGCGGTATTTTCTTTGAGAAACTTAGCACGTGATATTTGTCGACGTCTCAGCGACATAACACGAAATAAAGAACAAAAGTGCTCATACAATTCTACTTTTGAATGCCTAAATGAGAAGTCGGATCCGACTTGCGATAACTTAAATGGGAGAAACTAATTTTAATTAGATTACACTTGACCGATTACAACTATTTAAAAAAGCTTTTGAATAATGGAGGATAACAATTCAATTCTATGATTGCATATATTGATTTTCAGGTCATGGTGAGTATCTGTAGTTCAGTCGGAGGATTTAGGTATTTTGCTCTTTTAGTTTCAATAAAACGAGAATCTATGCAGTCATCAGAATTTTAAAATTTCACTTCCTTTCGAAGTATGTCCTGATGCTGTTGTCTAGATAGACGATGAAAGTTGCAGGACTAAACCATTGTGCCCATAGAACGCAACACCCTAAAAATATATTCATTCTGAGAAATAATTCATGTATCATTGGAAATGGACAACTGGTTTATGATTTAATTATAGTGTACTGTGCTCAGCTATAATTTAGGATAAGTTTTCCTACAATGTACTAGATATCTTATATTCTGGAAAACAGTAAGGATAGAGAAAATCTTCCAAGATACAAGTACAGTAAAAATCAGGTGAGTCAATGCATCGTCAACCGGTTTGTATTTCGCCTATTCTTTGTCAAATGATTACTATATCCAAATGACAAACCTGTTAACTGTTGATGAATGCAGAAAAGCGATATCGTTGGTGGACGAATCAATAGATGTCGTTTAGGATAAGGAATTATGATAGCGAAAAGTAACTGTGTTACCGTTAGGAATTCCACGTCTGTTACTAAAATGAAGCAACGTAGGAAAATGACTCAGTGGTAAGTTGTATTTTTCTTACTTGGAATATTATGGTTAAAAAATCAGGTAGAGACAAACGGAGAACGTGGCACGAATATGGACTCACCGAAGTTCCCACATATCATATCAAAACAGGGAAACAAAATTAAGAAATTGAGCTTTAAGGGTAATTAGACTAATTATGAAAGATCCAATATCAAATGCATTATCAATGACGGGCTACGGCCCATGTACTCAATATAATTAGATAAAACGGTTGGTTGGTAGTTGAGAGGTTTGTGATTGACAATTTCACATGAGTATTAGTAATTTCCTAGACCATCATTATCTATCATAACTTACGTAGTGTTGGATATACTCTAGTAATCTTAGTGACTTGAGCGTAACATGTATATTACGTCAACCCGGAATGAAAATTGCTCTTGGGAAAAATTTATCCCAGGAAGGCCAAACACTGACGAGTAACAAAATTTTTACACGAAACGAAAACAGAAACCTTCACAGCTTGCATTTGAGATTGATAGGTTTCATATTTTGATGATCCAGTAGGGCTATTTTGTGTCAAGTCTTAAAACGGCCAAATAACTGGTCTCATTAGTTCTAAACATCATAGTCGACTCCGAGGATCCAGATACAAAAACGTCGAGGTCAATAATTCCTTGTACGGTAAACAAGAAAACTAGACTAAAGAGGAATTACGACTAAACGACCAAGCCTTTACTCATCTTAATGGATTTTAGAAGCGTGCACGGAGCTGGAACGAAACAGCCAGGAGTTTGTACACTGATCGCTCTTAGCGATAACCAAGGCACTCATGAGTAAACATTAGCGACCAGTAATGCTGGCCATACGCTTGGACGACCAAAAATAGTTGAGTAACAGCAGAAGTCAGTCATATGCAATGTAGAGCCTCGAACAAATTGTGCATCAGCTCAAGTCACTATCATATATCAGAAGTTCACCGAACATGTCAATAAAGACAAGTAAGCTAAGAATATTTGCTAAGTGATACTTGCAGTGAACCACTCTATAGTCTAATAACTATTTTGAAGCCACATAAGTAATTGAAGAGATTGATCAGCTGATGAGATCGCAAACCTGAATATTTTAGGATGGTTAGGACTCATGCTACTTACCTCAGCTAACTTCTAACTAGAGATTGACTAGTCTTGGTGAAATTTATTGCCTTTAAACAACATTTCTGATACGCGGAGACTAGCAGGCAATGATATTATGTTTCATTACAAATAAAAAGTCAAGGAAATTATCTGGAAAGTATATTGCGTACAATTATTTTAATATGACGCACACATGCAGGAAAATGATTAATCAATGACTTGATTTGACAAAAAATAAAATGTTATTTTATAAATTTTCAGACATTTCTAAGTTGGGTGCGTGAAAAGAGGAAAGTAAAGAAGTACAACCATAGGTCCACTAAAAAAGACGACTACACACATACACATCTATTAAGTGATGCTTCCATAAAGTAGTTGAATAAAACGAAAATCAGCTGGAAGGTTACATCTATTGATATAAATGACAAGAATTTCTGTGATTAAGAGGGTAAGGAACGGAACATGACTAAATTGAAGTACATAAGATGAAACTAAAAGAACTGAAAAAGTGTTTGTGATAAAGTCTCATCATTTGAATAATCAATTATATAAGTTAACCTAATCATCAAAGTGTGTGATACTTGGCACCATAACTATTGGCTTAGTTTCTGCATCTTCTAGTTTGACAACACGAAGTGTGTTTGTAGAACCGGAACCAGCTTTCCAACCAGTTACGATTATTACGAAGCACCCAGGCGAGAAAAATGAACGCTTTCTACCATAATCAATAGCATAACGAATTCTACGGTCCATATCTTCGTACCATTCTCCAGCTCGTGGTTCTGTAAAATACATGAAATAAAAAGTTAAAATAGGGTAAATTTACTGTCATTGCACACAATAAATTTAGTTGAATATTTGATAATTTAATAAAATGTTTCTGATTGTTTATATACAACTTACCACCATAATACAGAGGATGAACGCCACGATAAAGGTGAATTTGACGAGCAATATATTCATGACGTGTCACAGTGAGAATTGGGCAACGAGGTCTATGACGTGAGATCAGTTGGCATGAACTAACATATAAAAGAGAATTAATCAAAACGAATGTTAAATATACATAATGAAGATACATATATCGATATTGTATAGTACCCTTTAAAGCATCAAGAAAGCAAGGTACATATAAGTGCCTTCTTCATTTCGATAATCATCCTAAATGATACACCTTACTTACGCCTGAAACTCCTCGTGAAGGAGCATAAGCCGCTCACCGACACTCCATCCAACCCTGTCCTGGGCAATCCTTTCTAGCTTCTTCCAGTTGTTATTCATTCTTCTAATATCTACTTCTATTTCCCGACGTAATGTGTTCTTAGGCCTTCCTCTTTTCCGCTTCCCTTCAGGATTCCAAGTTAGGGCTTGCCTCGTGATGCAGTTTGATGATTTACGTAATGTATGTCCTATCCATTTCCATCGTCTTTTCCTAATTTCTTCTTCAGCTGGAAGCTGATTTGTTCTCTCCCAGAGAAGGCCGTTGTTGATGGTATCCGGCCAATGGATGTTGAGTATCTTGCGAAGACAGCTATTTATAAATGCTTGTACCTTCTTGATGGTGGTTGTTGTAGTTCTCCAAGTTTCGGCTCCGTACAGTAAAACTGACTTTCATGACGTTCGTATTGAAGATTGTGACTTTGATATTGGTTGAAAGTTGTTTTGAGTTCCATATGTTCTTCAATTGTAGGAATGCGGCCCTTGCTTTGCCAATCCTCGCCTTTACGTCTGCACCTGAACCTCCTTGTTCATCGATGATGCTTCGCAGGTATGTGAAGGATTCTACATCTTCCCGAGTTTCGCCATCAAGAGTGATTGGACTGCTGTTTTCCTTTGGCTTCACACATTTCGCGATGTCCTCTCTTCAAGTTGGTTATTTAGATGTTTCAAGTTTTAACAACTAATTCCATTTAGTCTGTTTGTTGGTTTTTTTCCATCGAATTATTTGTTGAACGTCTACTATTAAAGACATAAATTTCATGCAGCTTGATGAAGCTCAGTGCTTTTAATATATTAAAGTATTTCCGATTATTTCATTCACTGTCTTCTAAATAAATTAGAATAGCAGCATATTTTAGACCAGTTTTAATTTTAATAGAAACGAGAATGTGTGTAGTCATTGATTAATTTTATGTAAGATAAAAACATACATACTTACCGGCCAGATGTTGTAATCACAATGATAGCGGCAGCATTACAACGACTAGCAGCTTCTACTGCAGCAATTGCAGTGGTGTGAGCCATTTCAGTTGGACCATATAAAGAAGACTTCAAATCTTCAAACAATTGTCCATGAAACATTGCTGCCTCAGCCTGTACACATATACGGTGCATAGTTTGTACAGCCTCTAATGGATATAATCCTTTGGCCGTTTCTCCTGAATTATAAAATATAAAATAAGTTGAAAAATGAACAATTTATTTTGGTTGATTGATAATTAAAAACCTGATAATAACCTATGAATATTGCTGTGAATAGAAAAAAGGTAGATTATGATTGAAATTCATCTGCTCGTCAATTAAATGTTACTGCTTTTAGATGTGTAATTTATAATTTATGTAATCAGATTTCTGCTGTTTCTCAGACGTCACCACTTCTCTAGTACTGAGCTAAAATGATCAGATAGAAAAATCAAAATGGATGAAACAATTTTCTAGAAAACAAAACAAGAGATAGAACACTATCCAAACGAAATTTAGGTGGAGATTGATTCAATTTGGCAGGTAAAAATCTGATGAGGTGAGCAATGAGTTGAATAAATGTTTGTATTTTTAGGGAAACCCCTTGTTCAAATTTACCTCAAGCGGTTGACATTTAAAAAACTTTTTGGTGTAAAGGTTTAGCAGGTAGACTTTAGTGAAATGCAATTAATTTAATATCCATGGCTTAGTGGTTAAGATGTTCAACTTCAAACTACCAAGACCCAGGCTTGAACTCGGTTCTGACTACTTTGGTTTCGACAACTAGGGTAGGTATCATTAGCTCTTACACGTAGATTGTGGTTAATACCCAAATGCCTACCTGTCAAATGAGTTTTAACATTAAATGATGCGTAATTTGGACTGGAACTCTTGTTGATCAATGCATAATTTGACATTTAAATGCCCACTGACCAAATAGATATTTTATTCAATAGAAGTATTGCATGACTTTACGATATCAGCTGGAATATGAACAAGTATTTTCTATTTGTATGGTTTTTAAGAAAATTTAGCCCACCAGTGGACAAAGCGGAGCTTGGTTTCAGTGTGTGAATCTGCAGGGACACAGAGTATCCAAGAATTTTGAGAAAAACAGTACGAAAACGTGTAATATTTGAAGCACATAGTTATGGTTTGATGAGTAGGTAACGTCGAAAATGTAAAATATTATGAAATCGAAACCAACCTGAAAGCATAACACAGTCTGCACCATCAAGTACGGCATTAGCAACGTCACTTGATTCAGCACGTGTTGGACGAGGCTTAGTAGTCATTGACTCCAACATTTGTGTGGCACATATCACAGGCTTCCCAACCTGATTACAGCGACCAATCATCATCTTTTGTGCTATGAAAACCTTTTCAGCAGGGATTTCTATCCCTAGATCACCACGAGCAACCATAATTCCATCAGCAGCATCAAGGATTTCATTAAATCTGAAAATGGAAAGGACATTTTAGTCAAGATATTGGAAGGCAGAAAGGTGTAAAGACATTGTCAAGATCCTGATAACAAGTTGATAAATCGTTTCATCTGAGAGATAATCATAAGATGGGATATGAAAAAAATTATTTGGAATCCTGTACAGTAATACTATTTTGTTGAAAAGACCAATTTTCCAAAACATAAGAACCAAGAGATACGATATATATGAATATGATGTCATCAAATCGAAAACGGGAAGAAAAGAAAAGAACCGCATAAGGATACCTTATAATGAATATAATCTAATAAATTTGTTTACACAAACAGATAATAGTATAGAGCAAAATACCACAATGGATAACTTATAAGCTATGAATTTTAGTTAATCTTAAGGTTTACAGCTTGAACTCAGAAAGCTACTAGTTCTAAAGAGCAAGACGTGCAAGATTAATGGGAAATGATGTTAATTTGAAGTTGATATCTAGTGATAATTTCCATTCAAGTGATTGTTCAACGATGATCAGTAGTGTTGCCATTTGGTCCGTACACAACTGATCCTTACGGAATCTGGTCTGTTGACCTCGAAGTTCGGTGTTCATTGAATCGTTCATTCAGTTCTACAAAACTTGGTTGAAAACTTTTCATGTCACAGATAGTAGTGCGATGCCTCTGTAGTTCTCACACACACTCGGATCTCGTTGATTTGTTATCTTAATGAGATATCCTTCATTCCAGTTTGTCGTCACTTGTTCTTTCTCTTAAATTTTCCTGAATGGAACATGGAGCATGCATGCAGTCACTTCTATGGCTGACCTTACTGCTTCAGATGGTATGTTGTCTGGTTCTGCTGCTTCCCCACTCTTGACTTGCCTGATGATCATGATGTTTTCTTCGATTGTTGGTTCGATAACATCTATGGGAATATCTCTGTGTGTGTTGCTTCGATGTCCGGTCGTGGTTCAGTGGAGCTGGTCCATTCAAGAGTTCTTCAAAGTGCTTTACCCATCTGTCCCGCTGTTCTTCAATATCAGTGATTGATTGGCTCGCCTTCTTCGTCCTTCACCGGTCTCTCTACTTCGCTCTATTTCCCTACCAGTTTCTTCGTTGTGTCACATAACTGTTGCACATTCCCTTCTCTTGTAGCTTTTTCCGCTGTCATTGCTTCGTCTTCCACGTATTTCTGTTTGTCAGCTCTAATGCTCCTCTCCACTTTCTTGTTTAATTTTAAGTATTCACCATGTGCATTGGCTTTCTCTGTTCTTGTTCCACTGTTGTTGATTGCTGTCTTTCTGTTCTTCCTTTCTTGAACCGTGTCCGGGGTTTCCATAGAGATTCATTCCTTATGATGATGCTTCTTGCGGCCGAGAACCTCCTGACACGTTGAAGTTAGTGCATCTTTGATCCCTTTCCACTTGTCTTTCATAGTATTATTCTCTTCTTCGAGTGGATCTTGTAAGGCGTCGAACCTGTTGTTGAGATCTATATTGAATTCATTGAATTTGTCAGTATGTCGAAGGAAGACTGTATTGAACCTTTGTAATGCTGTTTGTCCAGTTGTCCATTGCTTCGTTAGCTCAAGTTTCATCTTGGCAATCACCAGATAGATGGTGATCTGAAGCTTTGATGATATTGAATCCGTGAGATTCCTATCGTATAAGTACACTTGGTGCTTCTTCGGACAGCATCAGAGCAACTCCTTTAATGTGTGGAACATTTTCTTCTGCGTGATCGGAGTACAGCAACATCTCTCCTGTACCCGACCTTTGCTGTTCAGCTTGGATACAATGAGTTTCACGGATTCCGAGAACCGTCAAGCTGTATGTTCTCATTTCTGCAGCTATTTGACTTGTCGTTCCGGTCTCCCATATAGTCTTGACACTTCATGTATCCATAAGAACTGTTGCGAATGTCTGGCACTTTAACCGGGTTGGTGGACATGGAGAGTCCACCTAGCGAAGTTGGAAAACCCTTATTCCAAACCAATGGTGTACATGGGCTTCATTATCCTGAAGGAACAAATGGCGTATGAACCAATCGTTGGTCACCGGCTACCACGGGACTACATCTCCTTACGATGCTCCACTTCCTTGTGGATCAGACCTTCAGGCTGAGGCTCCGGGTGTGGCCGCCTAAGAAAACTATCTGCTTCGGTTTGGGCACCCGAGCAGTATCACAACCCTCACACATATCAAATGAGATCTGTGTGGCGCATATTTGTATTTGGTGCCTCCTTGTACCAATATCTATGTGTTAAAATAATAAAGTAAATACTTTTATCTTCTGGATGATGACTTTTGTAGTTCTGCAAGTTTCCGCCCCCATACAGTAGAACTGTCTTCACATTTGTATTGAAAATTCTGACCTTGGTGTTGGTTGACGATTGTTTTGAGTTTCAGATGTTCTTTAACCGTAAATATGCTGCTCTGGCTTTGCCGATCCGCGCATTTACGTCTGTATCAGCTCTACCGTGTTAATCAATGATACTACCCAGATATGTAAAGGTTTGTACATCTTCCAAAGCTTCGTCAAGTGGGATTTGGTATACGTTGTGTTGTATCGGAAAATCTTGCTTTTCTATTTGTGTATGTTGAGACTTACTGCTGCTACACTGGACTAGAACCGTACAATTGTATTTATAAATATTTCGCTCATAACTGTTTGCAAGAAAATAAGACGTTGTAACAAACACATCGCAATATCAAAAGTGGATAGTTGCCATTTAAATTTTTTCTCGATATCTTATTTTATAAGCTGTTTTTGATACTTGTTCGTCTCCTCTTCGACCATTATGTAGTGTTTGAAAATTTTTGGATTAAGGTTTGGTGCATTTGCCAATGATGTAATAGTTCCCCATTTTATTATGAACCATTGTGTTTGAAATATCTATAAATACTATTGTACAGTCATATTAAATGACAATAACGGAAAGAAAACATCTGAATTATGTCCACTTTGCTTGATAAAACAAATGATTGGATAATTACAGTAATCGTTACTTTTTTGTATAAAACTATCTATATCAAACAGATTAAGTGTTCAGTGTTAAAAATAAAAAAATAATAATGTGAATAGATTCCTGGAGAAATTCATGATTATTATTCAAAAAATTTATCTGGATAATAAAATAATCTCACCATATTACTACGAGTTATATTATTATCCAATGCGTTTGTTTTTATTATCTAGGTGATAAAGTATTCGCATTTTATTTATTTTCCTAATTGTTTAATTATAGTATGCAATGAAATCTGGCTATGTATAGACTAATATATTTGCATGTTCGAAACTATTTGTTTTACTGTGATGAAAGGTTTTTGACAAAATTTTCATTAATGGGCCACATAATATAATGAAAACTAATGGAAGTAGATAGACTTAAGATATGATGTTCTGATTATGTAGTCATTTCACTACTGTGTAACTCAATAATCTTTTTTTTATTAACATATTGTAATAGGAGTTTAGATGGAGTAACGAAATGATGACATCCGCTTTAATGTTGTTTTAAATTATTAGCACTTTATCAGAAACTTAGCAGAAGCAAATCCTAGCAGTGAAGTTATGTTACATCAAGTTTCTTAGATCAATACAATCACATGGCTATAATTATAATAGTTTTATAATTCAATACTAAAATTTTTCCTATCCTAAAGGCATCGAACAAATAACTCATATAGTACAATCAAATGCTACTCTAACAGTAACATCAAAACATCTACATTATGTATATTCTGTATCCCTCAAATAGTTGAGTAATATCTACACTAAATAATTTTCTATAATGGTTTGGGTGGTAAATTGTAATCTATATTTGATTGCCGTAGCGTATGTGGGTTTAGATACTTTTGGAACGGTTTTCGTTTACTATATATATTTGTGCACGAAAGACTGAGGAACTTACCGTTGGACGCCTTCATGATTTTCGATTTTAGCGATGATTTTAATGTGGGAACCATTATCACCGAGAAGTTGACGGATCTGGTGTACAGCATCAGCATTCCGAATGAAAGAGGCAAACACCATGTCAACCTTGAAAAGGTTTAATCGGCAATTTATGAAATGACGAAACAGAGAAGACAGAATTTATAAGTTGTATGTAGTAACTTGTCATATGTAATATAATATAACGTTTTTGAGAAACTATATATCACCTAACTAACTTTTAAGTGATTCTTTTATGGGGCGTATTTGTGCAATATTAGGATACAGAACAAGTTACGTTATTGAAAAACAATATGCAGGATAGGAATGTTTGTACTTCGGCATCAAATTCAAATCAAATTTACCGAAAAAAAGCAGTGTACATTTGATAATCTATGTGGAACTAACAGTAAGATTAGTTTGTTAACGAAAAATTAAAACATTATACGATTGAAAAGATGAATACGCAGTTAATAGTGAGTAAGAACCTACGTTATGCTCAACTGCAAAACGAAGATCTTGTTTGTCTTTTTCTGATACTGCATCTAAATCGACATGGGCTCCTGGGAGATTAACTCCTTTACGAGACCCTAGCTTTCCACCATTTTCAACTTCGCATTCAAGGTAATCAGGACCTGATATTAAAGGAAAAAATATACAGGCACAAATCATATTATGTACCAAGTATACGGATATTTTACAAATTCTTTTTTCGAGTAGTTCTCTTACTGCATAACGTACACTTAAGTGGAAGCAGAGAATATGTTTGATATTTACCTATGATAGTTATGCCATTGTAAATCTGTCTACAATCTCGTCTGTGAACTTGCTTAAATACTTCGGTTAGGATATGGTATGCGTCGGAAGAGCTTAAATAATAACAAAAAACGTCCTGCTGGGAAACTGTGGAATGAAGCACGGGTTGATATGAGTTTGTTTTGGGGAGATGATTATTAACTAATTCACAGAGTTGAACAAAGGATATTCTGAATTGTAATATTGAGTCGTTTGGTCGGGTGGTCATGGTACTTATTATATCATCAACTTTGATATTGACTATCGAAGGAACTAAGTTATAGAATTTAATAAAAATTGGCTTTCAGTTCACTCAACGGTTATCATTAACCATCAAAACTAAGTTTTATATGTAAGTAATCATACGCACCTATGATTTTTAAGGCTAAATAGTGAATTTAACGTTTGACTAGAAATAATACAAAATGAATCAACACAAAAAATATATGCGGAATCAACAGACACATTTGACATGAAGTGGAACCAGAAGATCACTTACCTTTATCCAAAACCACTAAGCTTATTAAACCATCATCAACGAAAATCTTTGATCCTTTAGACAAAACATGTACAATATTTCGGTAATCCACATACAGAATAGACTCATTACACGCTTCCATGTATGCGCAATCAGTGGTTACACGGATTTTATGACCAACTTGAAGATTGACTTCAGCGGTCCCACTCTACAAGAGAGAATGCAAAAATATGTTAAGTACTTACTATATAGTGTACAACAAAAAGATATACGTGCAGCGAAAAGGTGGTTAACGATCATTTTAATTTCAAATGGACTCAGCAACCTTAATAAATAGTTAAAATTTGAGTTACCTAAATAATTCGATTGCGTCATACCTCTCGATATGCTCTATACTTTCTTTACATGGAAGGAAATGAATTAGTCTTACGAGATAGTGCTGGAAACAATACTTACATATTGACTTTAAATAATGTTCATTAATAAAGGAGAAAGAAAAATCATCTCAAGTGTTTATAACTATATGTAATAACAGTCAAATAATTTCACGTAGAACTGAGTTTTGCTCATAACTCTAATTGTTTTCATACGTTTTCCTAATAACATTGAATGACGGTAACGAACCCGGTTGTAGATACTTGAGTAAATGGACAACAGAAACTGTTAGAAATAAATAGAAACGTAATGCCTATCGTGTAACACTTAAATTTTTGAGTAAGTAGATTTGAACAGTTGGAAAGAGATAAAGCGATGTTTCACAATCGTGATCAACATTAACCTTACCCCGTTAATAAGGCCAGTACGAATTTCAGGCCCTTTGGTGTCCAAAGCAATCCCTATTGGTCGAGGGAACGGTTTTAAAGTTGCGGCAGCCTCTCGGACCAACTCAATGGTTTTCGCATGATATTCGTGACTGCCGTGAGAGAAATTCAGACGGGCAATATTCATTCCAGATGTCATCATATTCTGTAGTATCTCGACAGTGCGACAAGCAGGACCTAGTTTACAAAATAAGCAGAAAAGTAAAGTCAAATATCTTTAGAATCAAATGTACACATAAACTTGTTTTGTCAGTCTTATAGAATTAGTGAGTAACAATAACGCCTGAACTGATATACAGGAGGAAAAGAAATCATCCTGAAAAATTCACATCGTTGCACGAAATTCAACAACTGATGAATAATGGTACTCTTTTGATAGTTATGCTTATTTTCGTTATGTTTGAAGTCAATTGAATAAATAACAGGCGTTCATCCAAATTACTGAACTCTTATTGTTTGTATAATTTTAAAGATTAAAACTTTGTACGTTTCATTTACCATAACAATGGACTCAGTTTTATGAATTGCACGATAACCACAGACAGAATAGTCGATTTTACGCACCAGCTCATTCTCGTTGCCCGAAGCAACAAACCTCACTGACTACCTGAAAAAACGATTACTTTCCAGTATGTATACAAATAGTTAAGAATAGTTTGGCAGCTTAGTTTTTACACTTAGTATTCAAGGTGAGGGTTAATGGAGCCCTCTCCTCGTCGGTACCTGTAAAAAGTGGAGTTCCCCAATGTGTAATCCTCGGTCCCCTTCTCTTTTTACTTATATTAATGAATTACCAACTGTAGCAAAACTATCCGTTCTACTCTTCGCTGACGACATAAAAATCTGGAGACCCATACACAGTATGTCGGATAGAATAGTATTACAGGATGGTCTTAGCTCATTGGTGGAATGGTTGGACAGGTGATCGCTAGAAGTAAATTCTAATAAGAGTGCGGTAATACAATTAAATAACTATGATGAATCGTATCACCACACAATATGTGGATTCGTGCTACCCAAAGTAAGATACTATAAAGATTTAGGAGTCATATTAAGCAGTGATCTCAAAACCACTAGTCACTGTAAGGCTGCTGCTGCGAAAGGCTATAGGGTATTATGGTCTATTTTTAGGTCTTTCCAGTATTTAGACGAAATATTTAGATTATTATACCCGATTTATGTGGACCATATTTAGAATATGGGATTCAAGCAACGTGTCCTTGTTTCAATCATGAAACAGATATGCTGGAAAGAGTCCAACGACGAGGTACCAGGATGGCTAAGGGTCTATCTGGCCTATCCTGTGAAGACAGACTGAGACACCTTAACTTATTCCCGTTATCTTACCGTAGAATACAGAGTGACCTAATATTGGCTTGTCGTATACTGAACGATGACCTTGGTATTACCATGTCTTATCTTTTACTCCCGTCTAGGACTGATCATTTGAGAGGACATTCGGAGAAAGTTCAAAAACCGAGACCAAGTCGTTTATGTCTGGAGTTTCGCTTCTCGCACCTAGTAGTGAGCGACTGGAATTCTCTCACCTTCAGTTGATATATTTAAAACGAGATTGGACCTACACAGTAGTACAAACTGCAAGGACTAATATAGGTCCATAGACCTATTCTTAATACTGAAGACTGAGATTTAATGGAGGTAAAGGACGTATGATCTAGTACAATATATCGTCCCAAGATGCCACATTTTGCACTTGGTTATCCAGAGAAAATTAAAATAGTCGAGGAAACATGGTGTAGATGGATTCAGAGAGAAATGTTTAGTATATTCATAATCGCTAGGCAGATGGGTACGATCCATAAACCTCACATTGTGTAGTGAACCTTGGACGTAGTTTGCTGGACAGCAGTAACCTGTTCATAGAAAACTGAAAAAGCGATTGTGGAATGGTACGACTCAAAAGCGTCCTGATGAACTTGCCCAAGCGTAATATGATGGTGGGTATCGCATCTACTTTAACAAAACGGAGCCGATTGGTTGGCTTAAACTACTAAGATTGTCTCTACTCAACCTAGTAAAATAGCACTATGAAATGAAACTTGAAACCAGAAGAATACAAAAACACTCGTGAACCTACAATCTAGTTACTTTTCTGATGATCGACAATATTTATATTACAGGAAGAGAAAACGAACTGAATAGCGTTGACTTTAACTATGGACGCAACGCGGTTATTAAGGGAAATATTTATAGATGTACACTAACTGTATACTTAACGACCAGACCATTTAGGAGTGAATAACTTAATACTTTAAACCCAAGATCACGTATTACTCAGAGAGCTGTTTACGAAACAAATTTCTCTTCAAGAAATATTACAGAGAGACTTTCGCAGTAGCTTACCGATGGTGCATATTATACCAGTATTTCGGACATATGCGGGTTGATGGTCGATATCAAGGCTAACAACATGTTCCAATAACGAACGTGGATATACAGAAAGTGGTGGGTTCTGGTGATACGGAGAGGCCTCACCAAACCTTGAGACCGAAGAAACCCCATGAAATGACTGACTGCCAGTAGACCTAAAATTAAGAGACACTAGATTCATTTCTAGCCACAACTTACAAGTTTGAACCTAGCATCACGTAGATAAAGGCCGGGATTCGTAAATACTCCGTAAAGCAAGTGCGAACACAAATCTCAATTGGCTAATTTAAAGATATATTGACCATTCACTATATATGAAATCAATCAATAAAGTAAACATAAAAGTTCCCGTTTCACTATGATATCAAGACTAATCGGCTTGAAGCGCTATAGACATGTAGCCAAACCTTCAGTTTCAGTATGGAAAGGACAGGAGGCTTGGTAGCCTGTGTTATTCCTTGCAGTGGTGGTCTCTCTGTTGATCCAAATTCCCTTAGAAAGCGTTGACAGGTGGAGCTTCAGTCACGGGCTGAGGCGATGAATTCCATTGATTCATTGGGAAAGTCGATTGTCGGCTGACAAGTAGTTTGTTCTGGGCTTGTTATCTTAGACAAGGAAAATGAGGGTGTAGCGGTAAATAAATCCTCAAAATAAATAGCCATGTAAGTTTTCGACATTAGATACTGACCATATGTTTTAGTGGACTCATCCAGCTGAAGGCGCTCGGTCAGGCATCCTCACCAGATCACGTGTGGTAACACCGTGCTCAACATCTACCGCAATCGCTAGCCAGATTAGATCAGAGAATTCCGATATATTGGTCATCGCCAAATATACTCTTCCGATCTCCTCGACTCTGTCTTTTGATTTCTCTGGGTGGGAACGAAATATATTAGGTGTTACTGGTAGAAGCGTTGTCAAACACTGAATACCTGCGTCTTCTTCATTGGTGAGACCGACGTGATCTGGTACACATAATTGCAACTGTGAGTCCGTTCATTTTTGGGATTTTTATATATTATTGCCTTATTTTTTTAAATTTTTATACATTGTGATATTTTTTCCCCGTGTCTCAGGATATCTATATTTTTCCCTCGTATTCTCGTACTTAATATTCCCCTATGACTGAACAGACTCCTAAGTTAATTATGATTAAAACCATGTCCCCACCCTCTTCCCAACTCATGCCTTTCTGGCCCGACAATATCGAAGCGTGGTTCTGTTACACAGAGGCCGACTTCCACGAGCACGGCGTGAACGCCACACGTGCACAATTCCTCGCAGTAGTCAAGGCACTACCGCGGGAATTCAACAGGTACGTAACACCTAGTATGTTTACTAGTGATGTTTCTGAACCGTACGAAACACTGAAACGTTCTGTCCTTAAACGAGGAGACCTAACCGATCGACAAAGGTTAGGCCAACTCTTTAATAACATAGGCCTGCAACACGGTTCTCCGACGGACATGTTGCAAAGAATGAGTGAAGTTATAGGCACAAGAACTTTCGACGAAGGCCTATTCAAACAACTTTTCTTGTCTAAACTTCTCCAACAGGTGCAAGCGGTTCTGGTCTCGTTTCAGAACAACGCCTTAGACGAACTGGCTGCATCTGTCGATCGTATCTTAGAAGTTACGAAATCTTCTACTACCGAGGTATTTGCAGTCAAAGAAAAGCCTCAAACGACTCAGAATGACATAACCGAGTTATGTCATATGCGTTATCTTAATTTTCGTAACGACCGTGAGCGATCACACACCTCACGTAGAAGCACTTCACGTAAGCGATCTGTCTCTAGACCACGAGAGACGGATAACCCCGACTGGTTCTGGTACCATAAACAGTAGGGAAAGTCTTCCAGAAATTGCAGAAAACCCTGCAATTTTCCCAACTCAAAACCGACCAACACAAGAAACAACTCGGGAAACTTCCAAGTCGGCACGCTTTAACGGCAACTGTAGCCGGCGAACATAGCCGTCTGTTATTCGTCACAGATGTGACAACGAGAGTTCGCTACCTCGTCGACACTGGTGCAGAAGTTAGCGTTCTCCCAGCGAATCCCAACGACCGACTTTAGAATCGACTTTAAACTTACAGGCGGCAAACGGAAAACCTATCGCTACGTATGGCAAAAGGTACGTTTACCTTAACGTGGGTTTACGCAAACCCATTCACTGGATCTTCGTTGTTGCAGATGTTTCTATGCCAATAATTGGTATGGACCTTCTACAACATCATAATCTGATCATCGATACGCGCAAACGGAGGCTAGTAGACAGAAACACTAATTTATCCGTTTGCGTAACTTCTTTTTTTGGTTGCAGATTATCCCCAGTCACAATTAAGCATACGATAGACCCACTTTATCAACCGCTACTCGATAAGTATCCTGGGATTCATCAAACGCGACCGAAATTACCGTGTGTAACCAGCAACGTCACACATCACATCACGACTACAGGACCACCTGTATTCTCTAAAGCACGATGACTAGCTCTTGAAAAGCTAAGGTTGGCGAAAAACGAATTTGACCACATGATAGACTTAGGAATCATACGACTGTCAAATAGCCCATATGCATCTCCGTTGCACAT